ATCGTGAGAAATTGAAAATGTGTTCGTGTGACGCAGGAGTAAGACGGTAGGTTTAAATGCGAAAGGTTCCGAGTTCAAATCCCGGCGGATCATTGGCAAAATTCATGATCAAGTCACACAAATAGTTTTTAACAAGCTCAAACGGTGGTCTGATAGCCTGGCGATAGCCTGGACGTAGCACGTTGGTTGCATATCGACAAAGAATAATATGAAAAAGCAATGAAACAATCGTTTATAAATATTTTTCAAAAATGAAAAATATCAGTAGAGGGCAATTTTGCTAGTTCGAATAATTGACGAGAAAAAACTTACCCAAATTTCAATGGAAATGGGGCAAAACGGACCGTCCTTCCATCATTTGCTATGAAATTTCGATCTCGTCAATTCCTAAAACAAAAAAATTATTCTCAATGTACGATTTTGTTTCATCTTCGCTACATTTTTTTCCCAGATATATCTTTCAAGATCCAGCGACTTCCCATTACCCGTGTGTTTTCTCAAAGTAAAATAAAACTCCAGTAAATATCAGGAAGAAAACGATAAATAAAATATTGAAATTGCGATAAATCACCGTTAGCTCAACGGGAGGGGAAGTAAAAGGGTAGGGGGGGCGGAGGGAGAGAGAATGCGAAAGACACATTGGTCTTGAGGGGAGGGCAGAGGGAAGGGAATCGAAGAGGGAAAGAGTGGAGAACGGAAGGGATGAATAAGGATTCCAAAGAGTGCTTGTGCTGAAGCCGGCGCCTCGGCGTATACCCGCCGTAAACTTATGTCGTCGGAGGTATGTGTTGGTCCAACTGAAGGGTAGAGAGGACGAAAAGAGAGAGGGCTGGAATTGTCGAGGTGGCCGTAATCGAATCGCCACCATTTTTCCAATGTTTGTGGCGGACCGACGGCGCCAGCTGGCCTCACCAGCATCAGTGTCCTCCCATTCCTCCTATTTTACCCAGGACTTTATAACACTGTATTGGAATGGTGTGGTAGTCTCGTTGAAAGCACCCAGAGATGCGAATTGACGTTTGACATTTAATTCCCAATGGGATTTAACGTGACTCCGCGAATCAGGAACTAGTCCCAGTGGTCAGCGATAGCCATGCAATGGCATGAAAAAGGAACAGAAAGTATGAGTGGCAAAAAAAATGAAACGAGAGGAATCTGAGAGCATGAGCATTTTTTTCCCCCGAACAAATTTTTAATCGTGTTTTTTTTTCGTAATAAATAGATGAACAGACATAAAAGCAGAGGAAACCCGAATGAAATTTTATTACACAAGGAGAGAGAAAAATTTTGAAATTCCCGAGTGAATGAGAAAAAAGTATGCGCTGAAAGAAAAGGGGGGTAAAAAAAGGAAGAGAAGTTACTACTCTCTCACGAAAACTCCCAGGCGGAACATGACGCGATCTTCTGCTTCTTTCACGCTTTTACGTAACCTTATACTTAACTCTCTTCTTACCCAACGCTGGAAGAAACTTTTTCTCCGCAGAATGGAAACGGAATTTTATGATAGATTTATGAAAGAAGGAAAAGAAGATTCCCGGTGACTTGTGTTGTTTGTGTGTACCTACTTGGGGGGTTAAGTTTCGTCCTGTTCTTCGATTGGAGTTTGAATTTTCGGTTTAACCATGATTGATGTCCATAAATAAAGATTTCTCCATTGTGCCGGGAGTTTAACACAATTTATCTCATTTTTTGTCATTCCTATCTTCGCATAGCAGCAGAAATTCGATAGTACGGTGAATTTATTAGATTTCAAACGGCGATAATACTTGATGACACATTCCGTTTACACCGATATCATCAAATATCAATTGTCACTGGGTGATAGGTGGTGAGAGCCCAGCGGAAACGGTCTGAGTATGCGTGTATGTGCCCCAGAATTAATTCCCGAGTTTCAATTATTTCGCCAATTAGCCCTGGTCGGAATCCATTCGGATCTAATCCGTTAGTAAGCTTTCCATCTCCTTTACCCACCTCCCTCGTATGTCTACTATATATCCACCTATGTACCAAACCATCGCTAAAACCCACAGCCAGTGCCTAGTGAGATCACCAAACCAATGGGGAACAGAGGAACTGCATTTGCTTTGGAACATTCGACAAATTAGCTGCGTTAGTGATGGGGCCAAACCTCCATTGAACATTCCAACTCTGCGTTCCTCCACAGACGAATCTCTTAGATCATCCCAGAATGAGAATAGGTCCGCACTGATGCTGCACATACGGCATTTTGTCGTCTCTTGAATTTCAATGGATTGTCTCGTCACATGGTATGCCATAATCCACTGCTCCAAAAGTCAGGGGATTAAATCGCTGGGGAATACACTTCCATTCGTTTTATCGCATCATCCGATTTTCCGGAATTGTGTCATTCGTCAGAGAATACCAACATTCCAATCCTATTTGTCATTAAAAGCCTTCGAGTTTTTATGACGTAATGAATACAGTTATTGGAAGTCCATTGGAGCCCGGATTCTCCATATATCATTCGTTGGAGAGGTTGGGGATGTTGATAACTCTTATCTTCCATCGGAGCCATTGATTGCTGCATCAGCCTGGGGGTACCTGATAGCTTGTTCAATTTCCGAATCATCTATTCTGTATTCAATTTTCACATCATCAGCGCTCGACTTCCAGTCATCATTCATCCATGGTTTCTTAGCTCCTTTGGTCTCCGAAAACTCCAAATCATGGTCTATTATGGTAATCGCAAGGAGACGAACCATGATGATTCAAAACTCGCAGAGAAATCAATTTGTCGTTTTATCGGATCAGTCGACGCCGAGATGCACTAGTCATGGTGGATGATTTCCGCAGTTCTATCTTGATGACACCGACCCACACATACACATCAACAGTTGACGACATTTGCTGTTGTGCAATGCCCGCTAAACTTGGCCGGGACGTGTGAATAGCTGAGGGTGTAGGTTAGAACTATAAAGGGTGATGAGGAGAGGTAGGTAGAGTAAGGGGACGAATAGGAAGGGTGGCAAAGCGTATCTCAATTCCGGTATCTACGGACACCCCGACAACGTTACCCTGACAACGAGGCCAACAACAAACGCCTAATGGCCGGTACTCGAGTCAAACTTTAATTTCCTGACCGGCCGGACAGTGCTTAAAGCGATCTACCCCTTTAGCTTTGGCTTTCGCGATTCCAACGACGTTGGGTACTCCCATCCTTCTACCCCCCTTGCCCCTCTTTCAAACAGAGTAACTCAGCACATGATAGCTGACCATAGAATATTAAGGACCAGTAATGGTTGTTGTAATTTATAGCTTTATGTTTTGGAGATTGTGAAGATGATCATGATCTTGATTAAATACCGTCAATATTGGTGGATTTCAGTGATGTTCATGGGATTGTCGTTGCTGAAGTGTTCGATAAAAACATCAAACACAAGGCTATCAAATTTTCCATGCATTGTCTCGATGTGATCATGCACCGGTAGAATTGCCTTGGGAAGGAAGGTGAAATGCTTTCAGTTTTGTTGATTTTCCGATCAAATAAACGATAGAGAAGGTATTCTCACGGGGAATGAGTTATAAATCCCATGGAAGTTGAATTCTTAATTCAAACTTTAATTTCCTGGCCGGCCGGACAGTACTTAAAGCGATCTACCCTTTAGCTTTGGCTTCCGCGATTCTAACAACGTATGGTGCTTTCATACTTCTATACCCTTACCCTATTTTAAACATACACCGGAGTAACTCGGCACATGATAGCTGACCATAGAATATTAAGGACCAGTAATGGTTGTATTCCATAGCTTTATCATTTGGAAATTGTGAAGATGATCATCATCTTGATCAAATACCGTCAGTATTGGCGGATTCCAGTGATCCTCACGGAATGGTTATTGCTGTTGTTGAAATGTTCCATAGAAACATGAAGACATTTCAAATTCAGGAACATTGCAACTGTTCCGAGCCACAAGGCTGTCAAATTTGCCATGCATTGTCTCGATGTGATCATGCCCCAGTAGAATTGTCTTGGGAAGAAGGGGGAAATGCCCTCAGCCTTGTTGATTTTCCAACCAAATAAACCAAACAGAAGGTATCCACAAGAGGAATGAGTTATAAATCCCATGGATGGTGAAGAGGAACATTGGATGCATACAAACGCGAACCACAGAGACACAGAATAACCTTGTATGGTATCGAAGAATATCCTGAGAATAGAATGGTACCTCCCTGGTGTCATGAATCATGCATCCCTTATATTGGCGAGCCCTTATCCTCACGGGGTTAAAACGAGAGGAGTCTTTTGCCCACAAGCGATGTCCTCTCTTGCGGATAGAACAGCATCTCGTCGTACGACAAATAAACAATGTTATTTGTTTTTTTCTCTCTCTCTTGTCGGGTTTCTGGTGGCCGTTGGACACTCCTGAGGGGGTGTAGACGAGGGTCTCTTGCCTGTGGGAATATAGACGCCTAGAACCTGGCAAGCTTTTGACTATATGTATAAGGGATGTGAATGGCGAAGTTGAAGGCCCCCTGGGCAGACTGCTGGCAATACTGGCTCTGTCAGCACCAGAAACGTCCGCCAAACCACCGGCTAACATACTATGGAGGTTTTCACTGACAAGGGCTGGACGTTATGGACACGCCATTTCTGCCGTCCCTCACTACTCAACCCTAACCTCACCCCCCCCCCCTTCCTTTCACTGTATTTTCCCTTGTCCAATCCTCATATTGCCTACTTCGCTCTTACCAGGCGAGTATGAACCAACAAATAATGACGCCTACCCATCGTCTCAAGGATTTCCCCAGCTTGTCTCATGTCAAAGTTTGACAGTCTCGAGAGGGGGAAGAAAACATCGATTTAAAAAAAATTGGAATTAAGTGGTGCGGTCGTGTAACATCGCCAAGCCCCTCCCCCACGCTCTCAGATAATCGAACAATAAATCGGACAAGAAATTCTCCCGAAGCGTGAGAAAATTAACAAAAAAGAGAATACACCCCGCATCGAATCTAATAGATTTTTCTTTTATTTTTTTCAGATGAACCGTCCTATTCAAGTCAAGCCGGCGGACAGTGAAAGCCGCGGAGGTGAGAAATACGGCTGAAAATAAAAGCCATCCACGCACCTCTAATTAATAATTTACCGAATCACTTGTTCATTATCTTCGTGTAATTATATCAAACTCAAGTTTTCAGTCATCAATAAAGTTCATTCGAAATTAATAACTGAACCCGTATATTTGGCATTAATATTTCACAAGCGTAATATCGAGGTGCAATCAATACCAAGAGCTGAATGGAATCGTCTGTTTCTACAATTTGGAAAATAAAAAGCTCAAATTATTCTCCTCACCCAGATCTTGAACGTTTCCCCTCAATTTCCATTTCTCTTTTTTTCTCTTATTTTTTTTTCTTCATTTGGAAATGTTTTACTCCCTTTCTTCCTTTACTACATTCTGCATCATCAGTGGAATACGGCCCTAGTACCCTAAATATCTCATCTCTCTGGTTTTGGAGCCAAGCCAGCGAGTTTTATATCCTACTTCTCTCTCCCTCTCTCCTCCCACCCCCTCCACCCCATCCGGTGGCTGATTGAATCGTTTCAAGAGGGCGGCAAAGATTGAGAGGATTCCAGAGTATGATCGTACCTCGATATAACCAATTCTCTTTTTTTTCTCTCAGGCATAAATATATCATTATGCATCATAAATATTTCATTTTTTTCCAAGAGTGAGGCAAATTGAAATTTAATGCTAACTCCAAAAACAAGTAAAGTGTATTAGCTTGTATTTTACAGTATGACCCTGAATCATTAAAAAGTTTAAAGTGTCTTTCAGTTTGACACAATTACATTATTCAACAAATAAGCGGACTTTTGTTTCGTTTTTCATTATTTTCACGAATGCCTATTGAAAAACACGATGACCTTGTTTTTGCAGTGCAAAAGGAAAATACTAAAAACTCCTTTCGGCTATATTTTCCCTTTTATTTATCTCTGCATTCCTCCAGCACGAAAAGATAAAAAAAATACGAGAAAAGTTCTTTCATTTTATTGATCCATATTACTGTGAAGCGTCTGCAGAAATGATTTATCGATAAGCCTTAGGGTTGTACTATATATTATATCCCCAGGGACAGTTCTACTCGTGGCGTCAATCCCCTGAGAAATAGACTTGAAGCCTCTTTTGCAATGTAGATCTTACGAATGACTATAAAAGTCGACGATAAATCCATCTGTACGGAATAGTAATAATAATTTGTCAGAAATGAAGTAAAAGGTGATACATTATAATTCTCTACGGATACGAAAAAATTTTTTAAATTGAGAAATTATCTTTCCCTACTTGAGAATAACCTTCTCAATCCGGAATTCTGATTTCTCTGTTGAGCATTCATGATAGCACGTAGTGAATAAGATAGTTTTAAAATATCCATTAAGGTTGGACGTACTCGCACGGCTGGAAGTTGTTATTATTTGCATTCGCGATATTCTCTCCGACCTAATGCCACTGACAAGTCACAGCCCAACCCCCCAAACATTTTTTGGACCGAAAATTGAATGGATTGGGATCAAAATTTAAGTGAAAAGCTTAAGATCCACTCGTAGCTCGGTGGTAAGCACTGCAGATTGGCAACCAGAGGACATGGGTTCGATTTCCGCTTGGGCAGTTTCAATTTTTTTCAACTTCATTTCGATCATTAGTTCGTACTTGATGAAAGTACTTAATCTCTGTACTTCATACAAGTACTTCATACTTCATATCAAGTAGTACTTCGTGAAAGCACGTTCTCCGGAATGTATATCGTATATACTCTTGATGTCCAGTCATCTCCATCCACCCCAACATCTCCAGCAAGACGATCTCGCACCAATTGGTGACATTTACATCGGGGAATAGCGAGTAATACTCGATGTATATAGAACTCCTCGATTGAGCTAGTCGGGTTAGAACGAGCTTGCACGAATGGCGGAGGTCAAAACCGAGGGTGGTTATAAGGGTGGCAACTCCTAATTCATATGCTAATCTCGACGAGATGCCATTGTAATCTCCGGTCGCCCTGGACCCCTCTATCCAGTCTCGCCTTGACGTGCGGATGCGGGTAGAGTGATCCACCCGATTTACCTCCTGTCTCTACTCCCTCTCACTCATCCCTATATTCTCGAGAACGTATCTCATACCATCTTACGTTGTATATCTATGGAGACTCTTGCGTTGTGACCCCTGTGCAGCATCGAAAATTCAATTTGAGTTCATTGAACTTTTTCAAGTCTCAGGGGCTGAGTGGAATCATGATTACTATTTTTTATGGGGTATTTTGCATCACTTTTTTGAGTAATATTTGCGAATCTGATCAACAAGTCAAATGGTTTAATCTCAAAAAAATTCACGCGATCGGGGGTTCGAACTCGGAACCTTTCGCATGTGAAGCATCGAATTTAGCGACTGCGGCACCCCAAAATACAGTGAATAATTCTGTTTATTGTGTATTGACAGAAGTGTTTGGAGAAAAATGTCGGGATGTTTTTTGTTACAGAGGAAATTTTTAACAAAAAATGTCTCTTGATTTTCTGTATGCAAATTAAATATCCGAGAAATTATGAGAAGTCATAATAATTCGTGAATGACACCCCCAGTTCTTTCAATTAGAAGAAACGACTCCTCACGAAAACTACTGAGATTAATTCATCTGCTTAACAGTCCCCTTTTTTTTCTGATTCCACACTCTAAACTGAAATTTCATCACTCCCTGGATGTCTCTGTAGCTTTCTTCCATTAATGCCGTGCCTTTATGGATGTCGTTGAGACTATCCAATGGCTGGACGGCTTAATTACATCATTTACAGATCTCTTGAAGTGAAACAGTCGCACATAATTCTAATGGCCTCTTAATTCCGCTGAAATAAATGTCCTCTCAGGTGATACACAGTACGAGTAGACACTTTAATTGCCGCATGTTGGATGGATGCTTCATTACACTGAACATAACCCCAAAGATGACCCCCTAAAGAAATTATTTCATTACCACCGGTAGCGCAGTGATAAGAGCTGCAAACTGACAATCGGAGGACATGGGTTCGATTCCTGCTTGAGTAACTTCAATTTTTTAAAAGTTCTTCTCGATTAGTACTTCGTGCTTGATAAAAGTCCTTCACACTTCGTATCAAGTGGTACTTCATCAAAGTACGTGTAAAGAAATTATTTCATCATCACGAGATTTCGTTGTGAAACGACCACAAAAGATGATTGTAAATCCTGACGAAGAATTCAACTGAAATCACGAATCCCCCAGGTTCCATTATCATCCCTTTCCTCCAATTGTCCAACTTTCTCAATAAGTCCCTTGATTCCATCACTCGAATCCGTAAACCCCGGAATCAATGCGGATGATTCGATGAACAACAGAGGAAACATTTTCAAGTTTATTTTTAAAAGATCATTTGATAAAATCCGTACGGAAAAGGGATAAAAGCAACAGCGGAGATACGGATTGAGTAGTACATTGGGAGTGAGAAGTTTTGCCAAGGGGGTTTCCTAGCGAGGGGAAGTAGAGTGAGAGCCAGAGAGTTCAAGCTTCTCAACTGGATAAGATGAGTGTCGGAGTCTAGTGCTAGTACTAAGCGTCAGTTGAGCAAGTAGATAAGTTTCGATGCTCCAGTGGCAGCGGGGTATGTGCGGGGTGTAGCGCTGGATTCACTCGCTCGCCCCTCCACACATTCCTACCGTCACTCCGTGTACTCTTATAGATACCCATAACCCCTTCTACCTCCAGCTGAAGATAAATGCATCTCTCTCTTCACAGACGGCTGATATCGAGCTATCGTTATCCGACGTTTGGTTGCCACCAGCTCCAACTTTCTCCGGCTCCCCCATGTACACGAAAATTTTCTCGCCAGTTTCTTTCAGTTTATCCTCGAGGGAAGTCGAGGGCCATAAAACTATGGAAAGTTGGTGGCGGGGGACGAAAAAAAAAGGAAAATTATGATTCACATTTTCTGCTGATGAGTACAATATTCTTTTGAGGGTGTGGTGAAGGTTGTGGATTTTTTGCTTAAACTTTTGTTTTTCATCATCTCTGTAACGCTATTCACAATGTACCAGGCGAATCAAGGCCTCAAGCGGCAGCTAAAAGTGCTGACGTAAATATTAAAGTCACCAACACCGACCAGCGCAAGAAGATTGCTCCCACGTCAGCCTTATTTTACTCCTATCCATCCTCCCACCATCCACCACGTTTTTCCTTCCTCTTGGTCACCCATCTTCACCGCTTGTGGACGTTTGACTTCCACAAACGTGCTTAAAAGTTTTTTTCTCAAGCGTCAAGAGGGTGAATGAGATGGGCGAAGAAGCGGAGTGAAGAGGAGAAGAAAAAGGATGTACTCGGTGGAGATAATTTCCCGTGGGCTAATTTTTCTCTTCTCCGGGCTTTGGCGGTCACCGAGCGTTGTGTCTCGGTGAGAATCTCCTTTGCACCATTTGTTATATCAACTTTTAACAGTGGCTTCCAACTTTTTGCCTCATTTCAAACCATCAACGGTTAATTGATATGACCGAATAATTTCAAATTTTTAACCGAGGAAGAATAATCGTATTTAGTTATCGCTATGTCGTGAGCAAGATAGTTTTGTCGAGGGGGTTGGGATGCAAAAGTCATCAAGCAATACTTCATACTTGAACTTCGTGTTTGAAAAGTACTTCACATAAATCCTTCATGCTTCGTATCAAGCCAAGTGGTACTTCGTAAAAGTAGGTTGTCAAAATCTACAAAATCTTCTTCTCTCCACCACCCATGAAAGAGAAGATACATAAAATTGGGTAAAAGTCGAAAAAGACAATACCATAATCATTTTCCATCAGTACGGAATAAAAATCAGATAAATGGAATGAATAGGGTCGAACCGGACTTAAAAGGTGAGATCTTGCCCCAATACTCCCTACTACCAGTTGAAATGGCAGGATAAGAACGGAAAAGTGGGTATGAGATGTAAGACTTGAGAAAAGAGTTCTGGGGGATGGGTTTGTAAGGGTGTAAGACCGTCGGTGCAAGTCAGCCGAGAATCTAATTTCCCGAGACAAATCCTTAAATGTGCCCTAGAGCCTCTAGCTGAGAGAGAGGTGGGTGTTACGCCACCTCGTGGAACGAGCCACACCACCTTCCCCTTACGCTCTTAGCTCCACTCTGATGCCTCTCTCTTCCTCTTCTTCGGCCCCCCCCCCTTCGCTATACGTTGGGTTTGCTACTTCGGGTGGCACTACCTTTGGGATAAGTTATTACGCGTGTGAGAGAAGTGCCGTAAGGCAGGAGGCTTTTTGCCAAAGCTTTCTCATGAATCTACTATTCCTATGCTTTCCCTTACCCCCCCGCCCCTCTCCCTGCCCCACTTGCTCACGTTTTACACAGTAGAGTCGAGAAAGGGGAAGGGAGGGTTGACAAGGTCGAAAAGGAAGCGAATGAGATTCTCTAGTTTTCTCATTTTTTTTTCTGGTATATATTTTTTCTATTACTTTTACCATCTCTGTGTCTCGATATTGCGTACTTTTCACGGATATACTTTTTTTTTTATTTACCCGCTTGGGAAAGAGAAAAAAAAGGAGAGAGAAAGAGAGAGTGCACTCTTTGGGCTTTCACGAGATTTTATTTTTCACGAGAAAAAGCTTGAGGGGTTGACTCATCCACAGCCCCCCCCCGCCCCTCTTTAACCTTTTCATCCCCTGTGCGACTTCATTTTTCTTTTCTCCTATTTTTAACGCTTCTCTCAGGGGTAAATTAACCGGAGGACACACCGCAAGAAAATAGATGAACAAAGAATCTTTCCGCCGTGCGATCGTCCCTGCGATGATAAACAAGTTGTTTTTTTTATCTTTTACTTTTTTTGTTTGAAGAAAAATAGTAACAGTAGAAATAAAATGTAAATGAGCGCCAGTGTAGGGAGTTACAATATCATAAGAATAAATTGAGAACAATACGTGAGATAGGAGAGAGTAAAAATAATATAAGAGAAAGAGGAATGAGAAAAATAAATGACAACGACATAAATTTCTATCTCTGGCCGAAAAACGCCATCTTTGTTTTTGTTCTGTATTCCAGAGTGCATGATGGACGACGGGAGCGCCAGTGCCATCTTCTGGAAGTAGGAGGCACCGGTGGCGGCTGCTGAAGGTAACTTCGACTTCCAGGAGATAGCTAGCTTCCTTCCAACAAATATCCTACGTTCTTCTTCTTGTAAAACAGCATAATCGGGCCCCGATGATAAACCCATCGAGATTATTCCCAAATCGTTGATTCGTCACACCCCAGTGAATATATCCCCCTCCCATCCCCTCACTCCATCACTCAAAGATATCAAATCATCATATGCCACGCACAATCATGCAATATTTCACTCTTACTTATCCCCATGTTCACCTTCATTACGACCCCCTTCACGCATAACTAAAAGTAAACAGACATGTTCAAGAGAAAATTTTAAAATCGATATTCGTCTTTGAGAGTAAGAAAATTATTCCCAGCGCTAGTCCCATATGATTCGAGTCACAAACTGACAATTTTCCAAGCAAACCACTCTTTTTTCTCTCCCCCGCCCCCCTCGTCTTCTTTTTTTCCAGGATTCACATGTACACTCACTGATACACGTACAATATTTCAATTGCACGGAAAAATCCCGTGGAAAAACTCTCTCATTCTGTCCCCCTCTCCCCAACAACAGTGAACAATTTTCCATCTCGATTGAGAGCCGGATCTTGAAGCCCGAACTCCGCGAGGTATCCAGAGCTATTTGTATCAACCAAGTGAGGCCAATACTTTATCGTCCACGTTCGGTGCCATAAAAAAATGGTTCATCTTATTCCAGTAAGCCCATTGTCGTTTCGTTATTGTGACTATGTCCCCTATTTTGATTTTAACAGAGTATTATTTCGTAATTTATCACTGTCTTTTCGTTACCATATATCATACTATATATATTAATATATATTTATTTATTTATTCATTTAATTGCAAGTATCGTGTTGCGTGGATATAACTGACGAATTACTATTTCTCCTCCATCATTCCCGCGAAAAATCCCAGCAATGAAAAAAAAAATATTAGTACGAGGAAGAACGACTACCACAACACAACCATTTTGTCATTTCACCTGAAAAAAAGTACCCCCTGCCCAGTCTCACTGAACCCTCACCAACTCCTTTTTTGCTCTTTTTTACAGCTGTGACCATATAGTGGCTCGCTCGTTGGATGTTATATTGTCTCGTTCGTTGTCGATGTGTTTTTGATATATTTATATCAATATTCATTATTATATGAATATAATATCTATGTCACCTTATGTAAATATATTTTTTATGATAAATATTCATATTAATATGATGTGACATTATTTATATTATACACTTTGTCTTAATTGTAACTAGACGTAAATATAGTTGGAAAGAATCTCCTTCTCACCTAGGTTTTTTTCATTGTTTAGAAATTATTGATTTATATTTTTAAAAATTGCACAAAAATCACGGTGATTTTTATTTTATACTTAAGTATAATGAAGGCATTGGGATTGTGAAAGGAGTTGAATATGATGACGCAGATATTTCTAAGACAATGGAAATCAAAATTATGATACGAGAAAATTTTCTGACAGCGCTCTCAAGAAACCACAATCTGGCCAAGGCAAACCAAAAAGAAAAATACATGGAAATTTTGATATGGAAGAGAATATTTCCGTTCAACTATGACGTTATCGTGCGAAAAGTACTGTCATCAACTACCAAATGATAATTGTGTCAAGTACTTGAAACAAATTGAATTAATGAGTCCTAAAATTAACTCAGAAATCTTGAAGTCTGTCGGTAGCTCAGTGGTAAGGCTGCAGATTGGAAATCTGCGGACACGGGTTCGATTCCCGGCTCGGTACCTTCAGATTTTTCGATTATTCATTTCAATTGGTACTTCGTGAAAGTACTTTGTACTCGCTACGGATACCCGGTACAAGTATAGAGTATTCATATCAAGTACAAGTACAACACAAGTATTTGAAATGAATACTTGATAAAAGTACTTCGTACTTAGTGCAAGTATCCAATACTTGATACAAATATCGGCTAGTACTTGATAAAAGTACTTCTTCGTAACAAGAAGACTAGGCAAAATTATGTATTTTCCGTGCGAAATTATTCACATAAAAAATATCTGACAGCGCTCTCATCAAACCACAATCAGGCCCAACCAGAAACCAAGTAAAAATCGACTATTTAGAAATAGCTGCAGTTCAATAAACTGAGCATAAATATTCGTTGTCACGTGTTCGCACAATGGCGTGTGAGAAACCCACTGGATAGTGTCACGTTTCGATCGTCTAACGACGTATATCTCATGTATTTCATAGCCCGACATCAAAAATTCCCATAGACTTGAGTAATAAAAAACTAAATTTATCATCGACGCTCGAAGCTGACACTCATCGCCACATTACCTGCCCCCTACATATTCCAAATTAATTTTCTCAATGATTTTTATGCGAGCTCATGTGCTATCCACCTACCCTGTTTTTATTGATCGGCTTGTGGTGTAGGTTTTTTTTTTCTCTTCTTTTTTCCCGGAAATTCAAGGCAATTTATTTGACACATTCAATTCAATTACATAAATTACTATTACTTTATCAATTTTTTAAATTAAAACCCATCTTTTAATCATTTTTAATCCAATTATTTACGTTATTATTCAATTAATCACTAAAACTGATAACACGCAGCCTCGCCGTGATGTTATAGATGTACGTGTTGGCATAATTCAGAGTGTCACGTGGCCTTATATTATTGTATTATATTGTAACAAACATGGGTAGGATCATTCGTGTCACGTGTTTTACCCTGTAATGCACACACTGCACAATTAATTGGGTAAAATTGCGTCACGCGCGTGACCCCTCATGCCTCTATTTTATTTCCATTAAGTTACGACATTTTTTTTTTCAATTTTTCATTTTCTTTAACAATTCCCTCTTAGGATGGTGGATTGCTGGTGTTACCGTGTGACTTTGTCGTTCTCGGTGTTAGCAGAAAGCCCTCTATTTTTCGTAATTTTGTTTGTCTTCTATTTTCGTTATTTCATCATTACGTTCTGTACATCCTTTCGTTAGTCTGTTGATCGACTCTCTTTGTTTCCTTATTTTTTTCCTTCATAAATCAAAGGCATTAACATTTCTTGAACGTATTCACAAAGTAACCAAATCGTTGATAACACCGGAGTCTGATACTAATGAAGAATCATTTCTCTTTCTCTGTTTTTTATATTTATTTCTACCCGACATGGCCACCATCATCTGCAGACAGAAAGCTGTTCGTGGGAATGCTCAGCAAACAACAGACCGAAGACGATGTACGACAGTTGTTCACTGCCTTTGGTACAATAGAAGAGTGCACTATACTACGTGGACCCGACGGTACGAGCAAAGGTGAGTTGAATTTTCATTATTTCAGAGGTACACGAAAAATATCTTTTCTTAAGTAACGTAAACCTTCGCGGGGAAATAAAATTGATGGAATCGAGTCTAGAATCAAGAGAGAGCGAGAGCTTCTGAGTATAATTCTGAGTTTCAGGTTTTTAAAGTCTTGATTAAATCCGCAAATACAGGCCAAAAAGGTGGAAATAAATCAAAACACTTGTTAAAAAAGTTGTTAAATTGATGCTAATCACCCTCAAAGTAAATAGAAAAATCGTTCTCGAATGACTAAAATGTCCTCATATAAAGTAAAATATTCTCAACTTTACTGCCTATATACACAACCCCTCAAGACATACAATGTATAGCCATAATATATGTCGTCGGGCGCTGGAAGAAAGGCAAGTTGGTGCGTGTATGAGGTGGATGGTAGGTTATTTCACTTGGCTTTCGGGCTCTCTAATTAACCTCCCGCGAACAAAGATGAGTCAAGCCCAGGGCTCACATTCACCTTCATTTCTACCATTGCTTAGCAGCCACACTGAATTCTGAAAATCCTCCTACTCTTCTCCAACACCTTCAGCCCTCTATACCTCATTCCCTTCTTATTTCTCTCACCAAACTGGTTCTTATGTTCACTTTGGGCATACAACCTCCACCAGTACTGCCATACAAAACCGTCTCTTACCCCTGCTGATGACACACTCACTTCCGTATACTCTACTGCCTCTTTTGAGGTGAAACGATAAATTGGCTTCAACCCAAACCCCTATCTCACTCTCTACTCTAACCGTAAACTCTCCATGGCTACGACGTGCCTCTAATTTCCACCCAACTGACGAGAAGAGAGAGATGGCGGAGAGGGGGGAGGTGGAGGGTGGAGAGAGGGGGAAACGATATTAACCCGGAAATTGCATCGGAGATCTTTGGGGATGAAGCCGCTTCGAGCGCTAGATTTGAGGTTATTTTTCATTCTAAAAAGCTTCCCCAGGGTTTTGAGTACTTGTTTCACCTTTCATCCGGTTGCCCAACGGTGATTGAATGGCAAACCGTCCTTGGAAAATGTCACTCTCAGGTATATGTATTGTGACCCTATCCCCTCAACCTGATCAATTAAACTCGGAAATTTCATGACACAATACACTACCCCTGGAATAATATCTCACCACGAGAATAGGTGGGTGAATGAAGAAAACTTTGACTCCACCAGCATTTCATCACTGGTTCACAGCAGGATGTCCGCGGTGATGCCCACCTCTTCTTGTACAACCCATGACAGCTACCTAGTTAGTTTCATACCTAGCTAATCCCCGTGGTAATAGTGAGGATCGGGCTTCACATATTCATTCAACTACTCCCTTCACCTTGCTCCGCTCGACATTTTTCTGCATAAACTCGTAATATACCTTGCACGATAAAACTTTGGCAAAAAGACATCATAACTTGTTATCATCTTGCACTCTCCTTTTTTCTCGCTTTTGAGAGTTATCAAAGGTGTCGTTTTTTTCTATTAGATGAAAAAAAAACTTGAAATTTGCGATTCAACGCTATCTAACCACTTTCTCTCTCTCGCTCTCTCCTGCCCCTTCGGCTCGCCTCTCTTTCCCAATTTGTACGGCGTCGTCGCAGTGTCTCAGAGATTCGTAAGAGGATCTGACAGTCATCCCTTCCTCTCAAGAAACAGGGAGAACTCCTACCTCTTCTTTCCACCCACTTTTCGACGTATAACGACAAACTTCTTCCAATTATTTTGCTCTCGGGTTTTCCCCTCCACCCGGTATGTCTTCGGGAACATTTCACGAAACTCCACTTCAGACATCTTTTCCTATTTTCGTGTTTTCACTCTCTCCCGCAATTCGTGTTTTTCATCCCTCCTCTCCCTCTCCCCTCTACATTTTCTCTTCTCGAGTTATCCTTTCATTTTTTTCAGACACTATGAATCTTTATGCGTCCACCGAGAATTCATTATACAATTGTCATGGTATTTCAATTGCCGAGTTACATACACGTTGGGTAATAATTCGACGCTGGTGTAAGAAGATTATAAAATGTTTATGAATAATGGAACGAAAAATACTATTCGAGGGAGAATGGGAGAGGGTTCGGATGAGGTATGGGGGTTGAAAGGGGACGATTTTATTGGGATGGAGGGTGAACTCGGTGAGGGAGGGCTGAGAGGGTTAGTTCGTGGACCATCCCACAACTCAGAGGGGATATATATATGGATATATATATAAATGGGGGCGAGGACTTGCGGGAACAATTCAGCGCATTAAGTTGTAATAACATTGGCCCCGGGCGCACACGCCGATCTCTCTTCAACATTAACCCCCTTCCCTGGGAAGGTACCATTGCGCAACCCGTTACGCAAAATTGCTGCGTCATGATCCACCCTTACCTATAAAGTTTTTCCTTTCTTATTCTCTTCTTGGGGGATTTTTTTTTCATTTACAAGAACTGTACTTTCATTAAGTTTTTTTACTGCTGTCTTTTTTTTGTATTATGTTAGACTGTTTTGAATCATTTCTCTGCCTTTGTATTTGTAATCCAGTCAAAATTTTAAATGGTTGGATCTCAACATTGAACCGGGATTTGAAATCAAGCGCCAATTTTTTTTTCTTAACCGAGTTTTCATTCAAAATAAAAAACAGTTGTAATTTGCATTTTTACATGCCGTAAAAACTAGATTAGAAAAAGTTCTATGAACAGTATTTTGTGTAATGTTAGAAAAATTACAAAAAGTTGCTCTTTAGTCGCACTACATCGATCTATTCTCCCCCACCCATACAGAAAAACGCCATAAGTAACGAGAAATTGGATTGCCGATTTCCGAGCCAAAATTTCCCCCTCAAAATAAAGCTATTTGGTATGAAGAAAATTCGTCACACGTGACTGTTGATCCTCTCCGCCTAAAACTTCCATCATTTTGACGAATCACAGAATTATGCAGGATGCAAGCATGAACTGCATTAGGGGACAGGAAGCCCCCCCGATCCTCCGTTTTACTTTGAATTTCCCCTAGCCATTATTTCTTGGATGAACGGTAGATATTAACGATCGTTATCAATAGGTCGCGTGCCTAGGTTCGTTAACAGGACTATTATCGGCAAAATATGACAAATCAATAACTGGTTGTACGTGATGATGCAGGGGACCGGTTACCATCAAACCTGTCAACCCAATTTTACGACGCGCACATCAACGGTATAGGTCGAGTTATCTGATGATTAATACAGTACCTCGGTGTCACCGGCAGATCCAAAACGCATTGGATAAACATCAGTACCACCGAAAACAATGTTTTATGAATGAAATCTCCATTCCTTCCTAAATCACGGACGTGAAATTTATCAAGCACTTGATCTACTCCAGCGCGAGGTTCACAAAAATGATCGAATGGATTGAGCTTGTAGCCCTTCCATCAAGTTTCATAATCCAGCATGAAAAATGTCAGTTGATATATCGTTTACCTGGGTAAAATTATGTGAAGGGAAAATAAGCTGAAGACTTTCCTGGAGACTGTGCCTAATCCTTTTCACAGTGAATGTTTGTGGAGACCCCAGCTGCTGCTGGGATTTACCAGCTTCACGATTAATGAATGCAATATGCCAGCCACGTACCATCACTATTCTTTTGATTTAATACCAAGGGATATTTCTGGATAAGGTCCATCAACATTACAACCGAATAATGATCCTGTTCATTCAGGTGATAAAATACGCCTCGAAATATTTTCCAACTGAGCCAAAGTAGCTTGTACCCAACGAGATTTAGTGCACTTCTTATATTAATACGATTACCAACCGAGCGTTGACGGCAGACACAACAGCCAATGGCATACGCTCATAAACCACCAGTGTGTACCCCGCCAATATTGTACCACCCACCCATGATTCGTCGACCCGTGCTGCAGCCCCTGCACTATCATACCTGCAGCATTTTGCCAAGCTTTTCCGCGATCCCCCTTTCGTACTGGCCGTCCGTTATTCCCATAAATACACCATATTGCCCATCAACCTTTACATTCGATGCATTACCCACTCCGTTACTGTGTTCGTCCACCTCCTCCTTTCTGCTCCCTGTTATCGAATCACCGGACAGTAAGCAACTTAACAGGCCACTCTCAACCAATCCTCTTTGCCCCTTTCACTCTTTCCGCTGATGGTCAATATTTTCATGCTATCCATTTTTCCCTCTTTTTTTTATTGCATTTTCATATTTTTGTTGTTCCCGAACATGACGAGATTGAAGGTTGCCAGTGGCGTCACTGAAAACTCAGGGAAATTTCATTCAGAATAAAAAAAAAAAAAATTTCTTTCATGCCACGGGTCTTTCTCCGAATTATTGATCGCTCATCGAATTTTCTGATTAATTGTGAGGATAATTTCCATCACAACTATGATTCCCCCTGAAACTTTTCAAACTTGGCTCGGTGGTTAAATCAATTGATACTGTAATTACACAGAAAGCCCCCAAGCTCATCATCCACTGGACTCTCTCTTTCCAATTCAGTTGAGAATTATTACCAATATAATCAATGACGTTCATTCCGTTATCATTACCTGTCCTCCACCGCTCATAATGCTATGTACTTCATGTTTATTCCCTCCTGCAAACTCCGGAATAACATTCGAACGTTGAATGTCTATCAAACCCCCAGCAGGTTTTCGACAATTTTGCACGTTCAAACGATTATTTACCGAGCCGTGAAATCCCAAGGTAATCCAATCAAATATATTTCTGCGTTGATTATTGCGATTGTGGTTATTCACTGTATCTTCGGTTCATTTTGAAGCATTGGCGCGTATTACGGAGTGTTGAATTCCATTTTACATTTATCACATCTACACGGACGTACAATCCTAGTGTTTTCCGATATTCACGCGTTCTCACTCTTGGGTATCCTCGTGCACTCTCGGGAATATTCGGGTGACGTCGCTGGCGTTAGGCCCCAGTTGAACCTCGACATCATTTTTTTAACCACTATTTGTCCTTTCGCATTGATATTTTTT